AAAAAATTTTCAATTTTTTGCTAAGGTAAGGGGTCATGCAAAATTTTAAAAAATTTTCAATTTTTTGCCAAGGTAGGGGCTTGTGCAAAATTTTAAAAAATTTTCAATTTTTTGCCAAGGTCGTGCAAAATTTTAAAAAATTTGCAATGTTTTGCCAAGGCAGGGGCTCGTGCAAAATTTTAAAAAATTTTCAATTTTTTGCCAAGGTAGGGGGTCGTGCAAAATTTTAAAAAATTTTCAATTTTTTGCCAAGGTAGGGGCTCGTGCAAAATTTTAAAAAATTTTCAATTTTTTGCCAAGGTAGGGGGTCGTGCAAAATTTTAAAAAAATTTCAATTTTTTGCCAAGGTAAGGGGTCGTGCAAAATTTTAAAAAATTTTCAATTTTTTGCCAAGGTAGGGGCTCGTGCAAAATTTTAAAAAATTTTCAATTTTTTGCCAAGGTAGGGGGTCGTGCAAAATTTTAAAAAATTTTCAATTTTTTGCGAAGGTAGGGGCTTGTGCAAAATTTTAAAAAATTTTCAATTTTTTGCCAAGGTAGGGGGTCGTGCAAAATTTTAAAAAATTTTCAATTTTTTGCTAAGGTAAGGGGTCGTGCAAAATTTTAAAAAATTTTCAATTTTTTGCCAAGGTAGGGGCTTGTGCAAAATTTTAAAAAATTTTCAATTTTTTGCCAAGGTCGTGCAAAATTTTAAAAAATTTGCAATGTTTTGCCAAGGCAGGGGCTCGTGCAAAATTTTAAAAAATTTTCAATTTTTTGCCAAGGTAGGTGGTCGTGCAAAATTTTAAAAAATTTTCAATTTTTTGCCAAGGTAGGGGGTCGTGCAAAATTTTAAAAAAATTTCAATTTTTTGCCAAGATAGGTGGTCGTGCAAAATTTTAAAAAATTTGCAATGTTTTGCCAAGACAGGGGCTCGTGCAAAATTTTAAAAAATTTTCAATTTTTTGCCAAGGTAGGGGGGTCGTGCAAAATTTTAAAAAATTTTCAATTTTTTGCCAAGGTAGGGGGTCGTGCAAAATTTTAAAAAATTTTCAATTTTTTGCTAAGGTAAGGGGTCATGCAAAATTTTAAAAAATTTTCAATTTTTTGCCAAGGTAGGGGCTTGTGCAAAATTTTAAAAAATTTTCAATTTTTTGCCAAGGTCGTGCAAAATTTTAAAAAATTTGCAATGTTTTGCCAAGGCAGGGGCTCGTGCAAAATTTTAAAAAATTTTCAATTTTTTGCCAAGGTAGGGGGTCGTGCAAAATTTTAAAAAATTTTCAATTTTTTGCCAAGGTAGGGGCTCGTGCAAAATTTTAAAAAATTTTCAATTTTTTGCCAAGGTAGGGGGTCGTGCAAAATTTTAAAAAAATTTCAATTTTTTGCCAAGGTAGGGGGTCGTGCAAAATTTTAAAAAATTTTCAATTTTTTGCCAAGGTAGGGGGTCGTGCAAAATTTTAAAAAATTTTCAATTTTTTGCTAAGGTAAGGGGGGTCGTGCAAAATTTTAAAAAAATTTCAATTTTTTGCCAAGGTAAGGGGTCGTGCAAAATTTTAAAAAAATTTCAATTTTTTGCCAAGGTAGGGGGTCGTGCAAAATTTTAAAAAAATTTCAATTTTTTGCCAAGGTCGTGCAAAATTTTAAAAAATTTGCAATGTTTTGCCAAGGCAGGGGCTCGTGCAAAATTTTAAAAAATTTTCAATTTTTTGCCAAGGTAGGGGGTCGTGCAAAATTTTAAAAAATTTTCAATTTTTTGCCAAGGTAGGGGCTCGTGCAAAATTTTAAAAAATTTTCAATTTTTTGCTAAGGTAGGGGGTCGTGCAAAATTTTAAAAAATTTTCAATTTTTTGCCAAGGTAGGGGGTCGTGCAAAATTTTAAAAAATTTTCAATTTTTTGCCAAGGTAGGGGGTCGTGCAAAATTTTAAAAAATTTTCAATTTTTTGCCAAGGTAGGGGGTCGTGCAAAATTTTAAAAAATTTTCAATTTTTTGCCAAGGTCGTGCAAAATTTTAAAAAAATTTCAATTTTTTGCCAAGGTAGGGGCTCGTGCAAAATTTTAAAAAATTTTCAATTTTTTGCCAAGGCAGGGGGTCGTGCAAAATTTTAAAAAAATTGCAACTTTTTGCCAAGGTAGGGGGTCGTGCAAAATTTTAAAAAATTTTCAATTTTTTGCCAAGGTAGGGGGTCGTGCAAAATTTTAAAAAAATTTCAATTTTTTGCCAAGGTAGGGGGTCGTGCAAAATTTTAAAAAATTTTCAATTTTTTGCTAAGGTAAGGGGTCGTGCAAAATTTTAAAAAATTTTCAATTTTTTGCCAAGGTAGGGGCTTGTGCAAAATTTTAAAAAATTTTCAATTTTTTGCCAAGGTCGTGCAAAATTTTAAAAAATTTGCAATGTTTTGCCAAGGCAGGGGCTCGTGCAAAATTTTAAAAAATTTTCAATTTTTTGCCAAGGTAGGGGGTCGTGCAAAATTTTAAAAAAATTTCAATTTTTTGCCAAGGTAGGGGGTCGTGCAAAATTTTAAAAAATTTTCAATTTTTTGCTAAGGTAAGGGGTCGTGCAAAATTTTAAAAAATTTTCAATTTTTTGCCAAGGTAGGGGCTCGTGCAAAATTTTAAAAAATTTTCAATTTTTTGCGAAGGTAGGGGGTCGTGCAAAATTTTAAAAAATTTTCAATTTTTTGCCAAGGTAGGGGGTCGTGCAAAATTTTAAAAAATTTTCAATTTTTTGCCAAGGTAGGGGGTCGTGCAAAATTTTAAAAAATTTTCAATTTTTTGCCAAGGCAGGGGGTCGTGCAAAATTTTAAAAAAATTGCAATTTTTTGCCAAGGTAGGGGGTCGTGCAAAATTTTAAAAAATTTTCAATTTTTTGCCAAGGTCGTGCAAAATTTTAAAAAATTTGCAATGTTTTGCCAAGGCAGGGGCTCGTGCAAAATTTTAAAAAATTTTCAATTTTTTGCCAAGTTAGGGGGTCGTGCAAAATTTTAAAAAAATTTCAATTTTTTGCCAAGGTAGGGGCTCGTGCAAAATTTTAAAAAATTTTCAATTTTTTGCCAAGGCAGGGGGTCGTGCAAAATTTTAAAAAAATTGCAACTTTTTGCCAAGGTAGGGGGTCGTGCAAAATTTTAAAAAATTTTCAATTTTTTGCCAAGGTAGGGGGTCGTGCAAAATTTTAAAAAAATTTCAATTTTTTGCCAAGGTAGGGGGTCGTGCAAAATTTTAAAAAATTTTCAATTTTTTGCTAAGGTAAGGGGTCGTGCAAAATTTTAAAAAATTTTCAATTTTTTGCCAAGGTAGGTGGTCGTGCAAAATTTTAAAAAATTTGGAATTTTTTGCCAAGGCAGGGGGTCGTGCAAAATTTTAAAAAATTTGCAATATTTGTACCAAGGCAGTGGGTCGTGCAAAATTTTAAAAAATTTTCAATTTTTTGCCAAGGTAGGGGCTCGTGCAAAATTTTAAAAAAATTGCAACTTTTTGCCAAGGTAGGGGCTCGTGCAAAATTTTAAAAAATTTTCAATTTTTTGCTAAGGTAGGGGGTCGTGCAAAATTTTAAAAAAATTTCAATTTTTTGCCAAGGTAGGGGGTCGTGCAAAATTTTAAAAAATTTTCAATTTTTTGCCAAGGTAGGGGGTCGTGCAAAATTTTAAAAAATTTGCAATTTTTTGCCAAGGCAGGGGGTCGTGCAAAATTTTAAAAAATTTGCAATATTTGTACCAAGGCAGTGGGTCGTGCAAAATTTTAAAAAATTTTCAATTTTTTGCCAAGGTAGGGGCTCGTGCAAAATTTTAAAAAATTTTCAATTTATTGCCAAGGTAGGGGGTCGTGCAAAATTTTAAAAAAATTTCAATTTTTTGCCAAGATAGGTGGTCGTGCAAAATTTTAAAAAATTTGCAATGTTTTGCCAAGACAGGGGGTCGTGCAAAATTTTAAAAAATTTTCAATTTTTTGCCAAGGTAGGTGGTCGTGCAAAATTTTAAAAAATTTGGAATTTTTTGCCAAGGCAGGGGGTCGTGCAAAATTTTAAAAAATTTGCAATTTTTTGCCAAGGCAGGGGGTCGTGCAAAATTTTAAAAAAATTGCAATTTTTTGCCAAGGTAGGGGCTCGTGCAAAATTTTAAAAAATTTTCAATTTTTTGCCAAGGCAGGGGGCGTGCAAAATTTTAAAAAAATTGCAATTTTTTGCCAAGGTAAGGGGGTCGTGCAAAATTTTAAAAAATTTTCAATTTTTTGCCAAGGTAGGGGCTCGTGCAAAATTTTAAAAAATTTTCAATTTTTTGCCAAGGCAGGGGGTCGTGCAAAATTTTAAAAAAATTGCAATTTTTTGCCAAGGTAGGGGGTCGTGCAAAATTTTAAAAAATTTGCAATTTTTTGCCAAGGCAGGGGGTCGTGCAAAATTTTAAAAAAATTGCAATTTTTTGCCAAGGTAAGGGGGTCGTGCAAAATTTTAAAAAATTTTCAATTTTTTGCCAAGGTAGGGGCTCGTGCAAAATTTTAAAAAATTTTTCAATTTTTTGCCAAGGTCGTGCAAAATTTTAAAAAATTTTCAATTTTTTGCCAAGGTAGGGTGTCGTGCAAAATTTTAAAAAATTTTCAATTTTTTGCCAAGGCAGGGGGTCGTGCAAAATTTTAAAAAAATTGCAATTTTTTGCCAAGGTAGGGGCTCGTGCAAAATTTTAAAAAATTTTAAATTTTTTGCCAAGGTAGGGGGTCGTGCAAAATTTTAAAAAATTTTCAATTTTTTGCCAAGGCAGGGGGTCGTGCAAAATTTTAAAAAATTTTCAATTTTTTGCCAAGGTAGGGGGTCGTGCAAAATTTTAAAAAATTTTCAATTTTTTGCCAAGGCAGGGGGTCGTGCAAAATTTTAAAAAATTTTTAATTTTTTGCCAAGGTAGGGGGTCGTGCAAAATTTTCGCTCAAAATCCGTTAAAATACGTGTTAAGAAAAATTTGATTGCGTGAGGTCGGGATATAAAATTTATCATTAATGAAAAAATCAATTTTTAAATTAAATTTAATAATACTTACAACTTCTCCATCATCACCAAAATCCAAAAATAACATACGATTACCATCATCTGCTGAACCTTTTAATTTATCAAATGAAAATTGTAATATAGTTTTTGGTGGATTATTATAACCACTACCACTTTCTAATAATGAAAAACCACGATTTAAATGTACAACTAATTGACACGGACGTCCTTGATATAAGCAACGAAATAAAAATTCCCTTTGATAATTAACTGCATTATGACTACCTTGAACTAATGAACGTGCCCATGCAGCCATATCACGATGTGTTTCAGAGCGTAACCAATATATAAGGACACCACGAGTTGTACCACAACGTACACAAAATACTGTAGTCTGTTGGCCCTGAAATATGAAAATTTCATTATACAAATATTATAATAAAACAATATAATTTTAAATATGGTTATACATAATAATATGTCGTTCAATATTTAAAAATTAAAATATAAAATAAATTTAGAAGAAATATATTAGAAAATATGGGAAAAATACAAGTTAAGTAATAAAAAAAAATGAAAAAGGAAAATTTTATATTGTTGCACGCTGACATAAAAAGGTATAACAGTTATATACTACAAATAAATGGTTATTTAAAATAAATGGTTAGTTACAAATGATTTGTTCTTGATTATTTTTTATGGTAACGTATATAGAGATTGTGCAATGGAAACTTACATATTGTGGGTCGAACGTTATAATTTTTTATCGAAAAAAATAGTTTTTATTATTTAAATAAGAAAGTCGATAACATTTTTTCTGTTGGTTCATTATTTGAGGCAACTTACGATTTCAAGTAAGTACTAAGAAAATATAAAAATTTCAATTTTATTTTCGGTAAAGACTCACTTTCTGAAATTCTAGAAATTCTAAAAATTCTAGAATTTTTTATTTTATCTTCAAAAATGTAAAATCAATCCTTTTTAAGGCAGCGGCTTGCTTCCCCTAGCGCGGTATACTATAGTTAAACTTTAGAGAAACAAAATGGCCGTTCAAATTTACCATTATCTAAAGTCCTTTTTTTCCAAATTTTTGATGTCGTTTTTCTTCTAACGAAATAGTTCATTTCGTTAGAAGAAAATTTTTTCCATCTCCACCCCCACTCAAGTTATCGCCTCTTGAAATTTGTAAAATTTTAATTTTTGAAATAGAATATTTTTGAAAGCAGTATTTTCATTCAAGTGAAAAATGCTACAATACAAACCATTGGTTTGACCCAACTTTATTATAGTTACAATTAGAAGGTCCTGAGGATAGCGTTAAAGATCCCAAAAATATAGTCAAATATAAATTTTCTTGAAAAATCAGTTCAATCGAACCTAAAGTATAGGACTAGGCAAGCGAACAATCTATAGTAGATTTATATTAGTCGAAATTAAACATGGAGATATAAAATATCTCCGAATATAAATTTTCATGACATTAAAAAATGGGAATTCTACAAACAACAAACATTAGTGTTAATTTACAGCAACGCTGTACAAAAAGACATTTTTTAATTAACATTATATTTTTATAACAAAATTATGTTTCACGTTTTTCAAATCTGACATTAGTAAACCTTACAAATATAGCAAAAGATTAATCCATTTTTAAATTAAAAATAAAAATAGTGAAAATGATGATTAAATGTTGAAAATTGAAAAATAAAAGAATCCTCCAAATGTGTAATAAAAAAATAAAGTCGCAATATTGCATGTTGCATGCAATATACGAACACAATTTTTTTTGAGAATGGCTATGGGAAACTTCCGATTCTGCTATACACAAAACAATTTTCAAAATAGAATTTTATTAAATCAAATTCTTGTAGTTCTCAAATCAATAAAAAAAAATACAAGTATAGGGAAAAAAAAACAGATGATAAATAAAAAGGACGTTAACTGAAAATTCTTAATCAGCTCAAATTAAAAAGGCAAAAAAAAAAAAACAAATATAAAAATAATGAACCTGAAACTTCCCTTTACTCCGCAATATTTCTTATCAATACGGGAAATAATTTAAAAAAAATGTAAAAATAAAAAAAAAATATATAAAATAATAATTAATAAAAAAGCAAGGATGTGAAAATGTAAACCAGAAAATAAACCAACCAGAAATGTGATTAAAGGGTACGGAAACGGACACTTATATTAAAAGAGAACAAGAAAATAAAACAAATAAAGTAAAAAATGGATGAAAGGAAAAAATAAAATTGATCAAATTAATGCTATGTATAACAGCACGTTTCACTTTAGCAAAATGAATGTTACATGCTTAAATCATATAACATTGCATGCTTACAGAAGGAAAGTACTCCTATTTCATTGCATTTGTTTGACAGGATAAAATTTAACTAGAAAATAATATACTACTAATATCGAATTATAAGCTATAAATTTGACAAATTATCACATTTTGTTTTTCTAAATTTTTACTGAATTTCTACGGAAATAATACTGCTTATAAATTTATGAGCAGGCAGTATAAAAAGCAAAATTTTGATTCAAAAGCTATGGTTTTCTTTCGAAAATATAAAAATTTATATGTTGTGTTTTAGCTCTCTCTTAAATTAAAATCGCATAAATAAAAAGACTAGTCACACAAAACGAAATTAATAAATCTTTTTATTTTTTATTTTTTCGCAAATGTACTTAAAGGACACATTAATAAATTTTCAATGCGGGAAAAAGAAAGATTTACAAGCCAATAACAAAAAAAAAAAAACAAAAAAAAAAAAACATATTCTTTCCTCTACTCTTCAATGTCACGATGTGGAGGAGAATGAAAAAGGAAATAAAAAAAAAAAATTTAAAAAATTCTCCTTTTTTCCGAATTATATTTACTTACATTAAGAGATGAATTATTTCCAGCACCAGCTAAACGTGTCGATGCTAAAGGACAACTCTCAAGTGGTCGACTCCATGCCTCGACTGACCATGGTGCACTTTCATATATTCTGAAAAAAAAAAATTTGTTTTTTATTTATTTTTTTTTGTTTTCGTATCAATAAAATATTAAAAAAGAAATACAAAAAAAAAAAATGGGATTTCGTAACATATCCCTTATATTCTCTCTTAAAAAACAGTGAAAAAAATAAAGAATTGTTTAAAGGACACATTAATAGTGTTACCAATAAAAAAGTTTAAGAAAATCGAAAAAAAAAACTCACTCAGGTAAATAAATTAAAAAGTGAAATGTTGTTTTTGTTTTTCTTTGTTTTAATACTTTTTAATTAATTATTAAGATGGGTACCTTAAGATGGGTAGTTTTCATTAATATTATTTTACTTAATGCTATAAAATGTTGACTGGACAAAATAATTAATTGATTTTATAATTTAAAAAAAAAAAATATTTATTTCGAAAATATTAATATTGAATATTTTAATCAATGGTTTTAAGTCAAGTTGTTTTTAAGGCGTACTAAACCTAAAAATATATGCAAGTTGGTATTTATATTTTCACTTAGACTATTAAAATGCAAAATAGTACTATAAAAAGCCTTTTAAACTACAATTGCCTCAAAAGAATGGAAATTATTCACAAAAAAAAAGTGAAATTCTTTTGATCCGTAATTTGGTAAAAATCAAATTATTATTTCATATTCACGGACTTTGTAACCAAGGGATTCATATTTCGACTATGTTGGTCCGAAGAGACGAAATACATTCCATAAATACTAGTAACAAGAACTTGTTACACACTAATCGTAAAAACATAGCGCACCATCGAAGTTGTACTTCAATGCATTTAGCAATCAACTTCTATAACAGTCTTGATAATGACCGGAAACTCTTCAATGTCCTACACTTTAAAAGAGAGCTAATGAACGATATGTTGAGTCAGTATAATGGCATTTATTAATGTAATTTATTATTGTTTTCTTTTTTAATTCTTGGTACTTAATTAACTTCACAAGAAGTACATGTACGATACTTAGGTATAACTAGTAAGCTATAATTAAGGGCTGATTTTGTGTATTTAGAATTTGAAGAAATTCTAGTTGATACAAAGAAATTTTTTTTTTCAAAACATTTTAAACATGTGTGTTAAATGCTTTTAAAATTTACGTACGGTGACTTCAATAATGCGCTTACAACGTAGATTTTACAAAGTATCACAAAATTTATTAAAAACTGTTGACATTGTACACTTTTCGTAAATGTGTTCTATACGTAATAGATACGTAAAATAAAAGTAAATCGGATAGCGAAAAAATCGAGCACACTTTTCTTATACACGCTATATAAATGTTGCCAGAAATAAGTAATTAAATAAACTAGTATATATTTTTAGCAGTAAAGTGCTAGTTATTAAGTTTTTCTCCTAAAATGCAGTATTAAAATGCTATGTTTTTAATGATGTAGTAACTTTTGTTGAAAATTAACATTTGCACAGAACTTTAAATTGAATTTTTCAAACAAATGTCAAAGTATGTATTAATATTATAAAAATTGTATTCCAAAATGTACATATTAAAAGCTTTAGCAGTTTTTTTTTACAATATAATGGTACCGGTACGGTAGTACAATTGTATTTATACCGTACTTAAACTTTTTATAAAGCATTGAATTATTGAATTAATTTCCACCTTACTGAACTGCTATGCATTCATGTAAAATTATTTCTATTTAGTTTTTTGAAAACCTTTTCATATAATTTTTTACTTTCTTAAATAATACAAGTTACAATTTTATTCGTTTGTATTTCAATTTTAACTATGTATTTATCACCCATCTTTTACAGTGAAAATCTATAATATTAACTATATTTCCAGGGTGAAAATATAAAATCAATCAAGAATTTTTCCTCAGCGGAAATTTAATATTAAATTTCTTATAAGATCCTACCATTTACAATTTAAATAATTGTTTTTTTTTATATTTCAAATACTTATCATAATCATTCTTATTTATGATTTAAAATATTATCGAACGTGAACAATTGCCATAAATTCAAAACACGTTCATATTAAATATAATATTGAAACTTTTAAATTAACTACTTTACTTGACATTCATAAAACATAATTTCCTGCTACATTGAAAAAAATATTTTTCCTCAATTTAAGCTTAACTAAAATCAATTTATTTCAAACTTAATGTAATAATTCACTATCAAATATTTTAATAATGCTTAATTTTTCTTTAATATTGAAACTACAAGAAAAAAATAAAATATAATTCAAATTTTTTTTTTTGTCACCTGATACAATTTAAGGATAACATTATTACAATTGTACAATATTCAATTTAAATTCATATTTAAAATATATAAAGAGAATACAATAATATTTCGGATTTATTTCATTTATCCTATAATGATTAGTGTGACATTCCAATATTTTTTTTTTTGTTTAAAGTACCAACCTAAATTCTCTTTCTGTTACAGCTACAAAAACTGGTTGCCATTTATCATTTTCTTCTGAACTTTCTGAACTTGATCTGCCACTCTAAAATAAAAAACAGAAAAAAATTAAAGGATTTTTATATAATATGGAGAGGAAACATAAGAAAATAATTTAATAATTAATAAAATTCAATATTTTTATATAAAAATATTTAAGAGAGAAAGAGAGAGATTTAAAAATATTTTATACATTATTTTTGTTATCAAAAATATGATTTACGATTCGCAAGAGGAAAAAGTATCAGAATTCAGAATGTGCCATAAAAATTAAAAAAAAAAAAAAAAAAAAATTTACAGGAAAAAAAATATTTTTTTTTTTTTGATTTATTATTTAAATGAAAAATGATGTCAGAATTTATTGGAATGCATCATATAGCATAACAATTGGTTACAATAAATTTCTTTCTCTTTTCAGGTATTCAGGAGTATTGCAAGTACTCCAAGTAATAAGGTTTCAAGTGAAAAGAATTTTTATATAGTTGATGCCAGTTGAAGTATACATAACTGGATAAATTTTAATGAATTGTAGTGTATAACTGGATTTAAATTATAGTGAAATATTATTTTTATTAATAATAATAAATAAAATCCTGGTCCAATTAAAAATTACTGTTAACTAAAATTGAAAGAGAACAAAGTTGTGTCAAATCAATCGTTTGTAATGTAGCACTTTTCCCTTCAACAAGTGAACAAACAACTGTTTTTAGAAATAATCTAGTTATGTACTACATTATTAAAATTAATTTCATTCATATACGAATATATTTCAAAGATTGCATACATTTAGAATGATCATAGCATGCAATCTTTGAAATAAAATAAAAACAAAAATAAAGAGGAGTTAACATAATGCTCAAATTTAAAGGTTAATTGCCCGAGTTAAGAAAAATAATTATATCTTTTAATGGTATGACATTTACCGTTAGCTTTCTACATTTACAGAAATTTGGAAGAGCTTGACAGTTTGGGAAATATAAGATGCCAAAAATTCAAATTTTACAAATTTCAAAAAGCTTGTAAACTTGAGAAGGAGTGGAGATGGAAAAAAATTTTCTTCTAAAGAAATGAACAATACTTAAAGTTCATTTTAGACTCCTACAACGATATAGGTCTGTAGAGAAAAGAGAAAAGCGATATTAAAAATTTGTAATTTTAAAATACGGGTTTTTGATAACGGTAATGAGTGAAACTATTAAGCACTTCTTTCAAAACTTTTGTGGAAAAGTGCTAAAAAGCAGCTAAATTATTTCAAATTATAAGGATATAGTTGTTGAATACGTTTATTTCATAATAAAATATAAATTTTGTAATTCAATGGCAAGATTAAATCGATTAAGATTTTAATGATTTTTCTTAATTAAATGCTACACAACAATGCCTTAATATTATTTGTTTAAGTTCCTTTTAAATCCGCAACACTTCATCTTAGATTCAATAAAATTTTCACTTTGCTATCATTTAAGAAAAGGATTCAAATAGAAGAACTAATAAAAATTAATATTCTATAATTTGCAAAATTTATCTCTTAGATTAAGAAACTGATGATTCATTACCAATGCAATGATATTCCAATTTTAAACTTATTATATTACAGTAAATATATTATTATTAAAACCAACATTCATAATGATCCCCATGACACATTAAATATGTGTCACAGAATAATATTATAATAACCATGTAATAAAAAATCATGATATTAAAATTAAAAGCACGTGCAAAATAAAAACTTTATTTTTTTTGAATTTTTAAAATTTTTCTTTTCAATGAAAAAACTTTTTCTACACCACACCAATTTAATTTCAATAGAGCATAGAGGGGCGTGTTGTACTTTTTAAAAATGCGATTTAAAACTATAATAGTAAGAATAAAAATAAAGAGCGAGAAGCATTTTAATATTAAAGTAATTTTCTCTTTTTTTTGTTAATGTTTATATGACCGTGTACTCTTCGTGTCATGAATTCTCCGATTAAAATCGAAATGTCGTATTGATTATGTGAAAATTATGCACGTGATCGGAAATTTTCTTCACATTTCTTAAAGAATTTTTAATTTTGTTACGTTATTTCTTATTGTAACGGGGGTCCCCATTTATTTGTAAAATAAAATTTTTTTTTTAGTATAAAAGGTAAAAGTGAAGTGAAATTTTTATTAAAAAAAAAAATCATAAAAAAAATTTCCGTTTCTGTTCTTGGGTTTGTCCCTTTTTTATTGGTTTTTGTCTGTTATTCTGTAATATTAACAAAAACAAATTCTTTTTTTATAAAGAGAATTTTAAAAGAATTCAAATATTCATATTTAATGTGGAAATTAATGTGAAAGAATGAATTTTGAAATATGTTTGCGCTAGGCTAAGAGGAGTAGGCTTAAAAACTAGTAGTATGGTTTATACCAGCTAATGGTTTATAACATATCAGATTCTTTTAGACTCTTCGTCCTTTTTTTGAGTTTTCAAGTCATCATACTGTAAAGTTGTATTTTCGGAGATATCACGTTTTTAAATTTCCACAAAAATCTTACCCAATCATATATTTTTCATTTTTCTGAGCGTATTATAAAAGCAAATATGTATATGTCAAAGCCACGCAGAAAAAAAAAAAACAAATTAATGGCTTATTCATTTATGAGTTTCCAGCTGCACTGGACATATTTACCATGTATCAACAATTAAAGTACCTCTATTGAAATTTATTACCGTATTTTATGCCATAATCTAATATGCATGTAATTGCAAAAATAAAGAATAAACTTCGATTATAACTTACATGCAAGTAATCTATAGGAAAATCGAAAAGTAATTTTCTAAAATACACTTCAAAAAAATATGTGCAATCTTTAAGCACTTTATAATGTAAAGTAAGTAATTTATATCCGAATTATACAGACATATATAGCAAATGTCATTTTGTACACTTATAATTTCATATTTTTTAACATTACGGCTTATATTTTACTTTTAAGGATATGGTATATAAGTTGGTTTCCATATAAGAGTAAAACTGGTAAAAAATAAAAACCTGCATGAATATAAATGCAAGGATATACGTACGTGCATATGCATAAATAATAATATTTGCAGTCGTATTAATAAAAAACAGAAAGTGTATAAGGTACAAAAAGAACGGAAAAATGAAATCAATTCAAATTCCACTTAAAAGGTTAGAAAAATTCCGATTTCCATATTTAAGATATAAAGTACATTGGGATGATAAGAACCACACAAATAAAAAAATATTGCCATAAGTTGGATGCAAACAATTCTTTTTATATACTTAATATGTATGCATGTATGAGGCATTCAAGAGGATTTTCCTCTATGTTTTTTTCTTTTTCATTTCTTTTATACTATAGATTATTAAGAAGTAAATCAGAAAAATATTTAACCAAAAATAAAAGATAAAAAGAACCTGTTTTAAGTGTTCCATTGCTTTTTAATAATTTGCACATTTTCTTTCTATCTTTCTCTATCTAACTCTCCCACCTATATACAATATATTTTATAATAAAAAAATTTAATATATATAACATATACCTGATCACTTCCACCTATTCTTCGACTAAGCCAACCAATGTGTTTTAATTCTCCAATTATGTTGACAAGTGCACGATTTGCATCGTTAAGTGCTCTTTGTGTACTATTTCCCATAGCTGAATGTAGTGCATTAAACCAGATCAATGCCTCTTGAGAATCAGTTGCACGTAATATGCATGAATGGATACCATCAGGTGAATGTAATTCGATGCAACGATTTTCTGGAAAAAGAAAAAGTAAAAAAAAATTATAGTATAAAAAGTTAAGAAAATCATAATTTTTATATATGTGTGAATTTTATAACTAGCATTTCTATGAGCAATGAAAAGAACAAAAGAAAAGGCCTCATGAAATTTTAAATGTTATTGGTAGAAAAAATTGTAAATTTATCCAATTTTTTTTTTTATTTAAATCTCATAGTCAATGTGTTTAACAGTTTAAAACTGTTTTTGTCATATCTTTGTGGTTGTCGTCAAGTCCTTGACATAAATATCAACTATCAACTGAGCATAATTGAAATGATCATATGACATCTTGTTAAAATAAAGTGAATTTTACAGATGAATTCTCTATATTTTATTCAATTTAATATTTTATATACGCGACAAGTTTCATAAAGAGTATAAATATGCTAAGTGACTACTGAATCAATTCCATATACAATTTTTCAACATTTTGTTTTTACCAATAATTTCACTGAGCAATATTTCTATAAAATGAAAATATTTTTACGGAATATGCTTGAAATAATTTGGAATGATCGTTTTCTTAAAGCTTATTAGAAATGCAACAGAATTTTGTCGGGCCACCGCAGTGATGGTATAATAGCTAAACAAAAGACAAGTAACAAGACAATAATACTATAATATAACAATTCTATACTAAAAAGTTTAAATGGTTTGCGTTTGAAATAGGTTTGAATCTACACTGATTGTGTGACTAAAAAAGACGCGCATCCACCTAAAATAGGTGAACCTTCACCTATTTAGTGAAATTATTGACACTTATACAGCCTATTTTTATACTTCATCACGGTCGCCGAACGTTATATACACTTTTTTCACGTTGGTTACTTCTTGCAAATGACGCTTCCGATTGTGATCTGATTTTTACTTAAATTGCAGAAATTGTGCGAATCATAAGATGGTCCATAACATTTAATAACTTAATTTAACATTAAATTTATACTTTAGTTCCAATTTTCAATTTTTAATTATTTTAAAACTCACCACTATATTTGACTCTATATGTAAGGTTTTCATCAATGTTTTTGGGGGAAAAAAATGAGCATTCATTAAATTTTTAAAAATCCTGATATTAATAACTTTCCTTTATGAATGTTTACATAACTCTTCATTTTACCTTTATTGTCATTCAGTGTGTTATTATTATTTTATATTTAAAAAATATGAATAACCTTCCAACTTTATAGTTTAATAATTTATGAAGTTTTTCAAGTGTTGAACTACTTGAATTTTTTTTTTGTTTTCTTTTTTTTTTTCAAGTACAACGTTTAGTATTAAAAAATTCTCAAGAGGAATTTATTCTTATGTTTTTTTGTTTTTGTTTTGTTTTGTCAAAGGAATCCTTAAATTTTTAATAATGACTGTTATTTAAGATAATAAATGTTGTAGTTTAAACAGAGTGTACCCTATAGTGGTAAGTAGAAATACATAACAGCGTGTAGATATTTGTTAGCATAAAAAAAAGGTTTCTATATTGCAATCAGTTTTGTTAACAGTTTTCCAACTTTATTAAAATTAGGGTATAATTTTGGCTGTGTTAAATATAACGGTACTTTTAAATGTACACCAGAAAGGTGGTGCAGTAGGCTATTTAACAAGCATGCAACGAACCTTGTATCACTTTTAGTTCACATATGAGATCATTTAAAAGACTATTTTTTGAAATTGTTTTGAATTAACGCTATATTTCAATGACGTAATATGACAGCTATCCAAAATTTTCGAAATTTCAGAAAATCTGACATGCGTTCCTTAATTTTGGTAATAAAACTTAAAAGTCCTTACTTCTTTAACCGGTTACGACAGAGGACTATTTTTTGGAACAATTTTCTTCCTCACTAACAAAGTTTTATACACTATTATATGCCAATGCACCATACTATAGAAAACATCCTGTACATATATGTATATCCTTTTTGAAAAATGAAGTTTTTTGTTTCAAAATATTCCTTTAAGAATTATATTTCTTTTTTCTATATGTATAATTATATACATACGTATACATATACTACTATAATATTATACGCAAATTCCATATTACAAGGTATATTTTTGTTTTTCCTCCTCCATCTTTATTATTAGGAAATTTTTTTTTGTTTGTTTTTCAAAAACAAAAAGTTTAAATCTCTTTTGGACTATAAACTTTAAAATGAATATAAAATACATTTTTTAATATAGTTGCATAACATCAAAAATGAGAAGCGCTTTCTTCTACTTTACTACGAGCATATACAAAGGGTTCATATTATTTAAATTATAATTTGTCACTTAATGATGACTACTCTAAAATATTATTATATACAAGTATTTTAGATATTCAAACAACAATATGTATATATATACAATTGCAATTTCTAAAGAAATAAGAATGAATGAGTTTTTACTCCACATTTTTTTTTTGGTTCTTCTTTTAAGTTTATTGAAAAATGAAAACTAAAAATTTACTATAAATATAATTATTTCAAGCTTAACATACTCGTGTATCTAAAACTCTTTTTATCTCTGATTATAACATTCACATATATATAACATTATGCAGACAAAGACAATAATGTTCTCTTATACATATTTTATATTTTGTATAAAAGAACAAAATGATTTGTTTCAGTCCCTCTTTGCAATGGAAAATGAATTTCTATTGTTGCCTTATTTATTTGTACTCTCATCATACATCAAGTATAACAACAATTTTACCGGAAAATTGTAAGCAAATGTTATACTGTTGTATTCAGTTTTTGGTTTTTAAATTTTTCTTCTATTGTTATTGTTATTGTAATTTTATATTATCATCTCAAGCTCTGAGCAAAAACTGATTTATTCTCTTGGTTATTTCTTTAAAATGAAAATACAAAAAAAAAATGTTAGTTGAAAATTTTCCCGTAAAATAACGTTGCATTGAAAATTTTTGTAAATTTATTGAAGATAGTAACTAATAGGACACCCCAAAATACGGCCAATTTCGGGTTTCAATGAGAAGTGACATTTTGCTATAATATCTAAGAAGTGACATATAGTATAATAGCAAGTACGCACAGGAAAAGAGAGAACAGCTTAGTTTATAATCGGTATTCTCACCTTGTACTAGTCTCGACCTTCTCATAACTATTCAGCGATTACAGTCGAAGATTACAGTCAATTTTGTAACGTAATGATTTTCCAAGAATACTTATTAATGCCACACTATTCGCTTAATAGTGTGTTTGATATACAAAAGCTGACACACTATTATTAAATTACTAAGAAACAGCAAAATTTTCTAAATTTTTGTTTATTGTTGTTGTCTCATATTTGAATTCAAATAGTTGCCATAAACACGAAAAGCTCAGGAAACAAAACGAAATATCCCCATCTTTACAATTTACCCTATGGAGCGAGTACGAGAATACAGATTATGACAAACAAAGCCAAACGAAAAAAAAATTAATAAATAATAATAAAATACATACATAGCAAGACTTAAAATCAGAAAAAGTGAAAAACTGAAATGAAATAATAAATTAAAGGACCAAAAGGATTTTTCTTTTTCATTTAGTTATGCTACCAGTATTTAGGTTTTTCCTTTCTTTTTGCACTTTGCTTTTCTTCTTTTCCTTTTTTTTTCTCTGTTACAGGTACATAATTTATAAAGGTAATATGAGTACAAAAGAAAAGATACAATATTTCTGTTCTTATATAGTCAAGACTTATGAATTTCTAACGCTTCCACCTAATTCAAAATATAAAAAGGGAATAATGTATAAAATATAAAAAACAAAACAGAAATAAATAAACACAAAATAAAATATTTCTTAATGCATCCTCATTTATTTTAGCTTTGCTTTATAATTTATACAATATTATCAACGACATTGCAAGGATAATATAAAAAAAATTCATTCTGATATTATGTTCTTGCAATTCTATATAATATTAAAATAGGATGTATACCTGTATGTATGTGTGTCTATACATATACACACATGTAAAAGTGTAATATGTCGCCGACCTGAAAACGTAATAATTATCATGAATTAAATTTTATGCATTCCGACTTTTTAATGCGATTTTACTGTATATGAATAATAATAATGCTCTTTCAATTACACCGTTCTAATTTTATCGTATATAACACTATTTAAGAATTTTTTTTATTTACACTGACCAATATATATTATTTTTTTAAAAAACAAAGGGCTTAATTTTTGAACTTTTATAATTGACAATTTATCTTTAATACAGGAGAACTAATTAAGGTATAGGTAAGGTATTTTAAACTGAGAAGTTTGCAAAACAATTTCGAATTTGGCATTGTTTAAGATTTTCATTTGATAATTAAAGTTTTTTAAACAGTTCCACGTGAAGTCGATCTTCCCATGCATAATTTTTGGAAAACATCGGAAAAAAAAATATGTTTATAATGTAAACATTATTAATCTTCATTTTTGTTTTATTCCATACCTTGGCAGCAGTTACCTATAAAAGTCTCCAAAATTTCTAAAAACTCTCCAATCTCTCCAAAATATGAAAAATCCCTCCCTTGCTCGTAACTCCATTATAAACTTATAGCGTGGTGGAAATTCACAGACAGCCCGTCAGGTATGAATAAATGTAAAAGGTATGAATAAATCTATACGTAAGCAATTATTTTGCTTTAGCTCAGAATTATTTTGCGATTTTGGAATACAGTTTTTGTTCGTAAATTCTTGAAGATTGTATTTGGTAACGGCAGTGGAAAATTTCATTCTGGTACATGCACTGTAATTTTTATGTATAAAAATTCCCGACTAAATCAATGCAAAACATTAGCCTTTTGGAAGAGGTTTACAATTTTTAAAATATTTTATTGTGAAAATCAAGTCAAATATTACATAATGGCTTTAATATACTATGTTACAATTACAATTTTATAATTATAGTAATTTTATTATTAATCCCAACTCTAGAAATATGTAGTAATAATTTAGAATTATATGTATAGTCATAATTTATGTATTAAA